ATAATATAGCCCTGCCTACTCCTCATAATTCAACTAACCCAAACATATATAGCCTAATCCTACCTTCAACTCCCTACATCGGAATATCTAATGATAAATTAAGTTATTGTAATTTTGATAGCTTAAACAATTGTAAATCTATACGCTCTGAGTTCCTCCTGTGTAAAATCCAGTCCATATCATTAACAAGTCATAACCCTATATGTGAAAGTGAACTACTCACCAAGACATTCAGTGCTATACCCATTCAGTGCAAAACTAAAACACTATTCAGTGAAATGGACATTTGGAAACCACTAGTAAATAATCGGTGGATTTTTGTGCAATCTCGCCCGAATAAGATAACCATCGACTGTGGTATCTCAGGGTTAAGAGAACCTATTATAATCGGCACGGGTATTTTAAATATCCCCGCACAATGCTCAGTGTACACAAGGAGCACAAGGCTCGTGTCATATGAAAACGCTTTAAATATTAATATCCCTACACCTAGTTTAGATTTCAATATAATCAATGACCCTTGATGTAAGCTTAATGTATCCTATAGTGTTAAAGAACATACATCTCCTATTTTACTGCAAAATTTAGACCTAGATCATTTTACCAGTGACAACCAAAATTTAGAAACCTTTAACAAACTTAATAACATAATCAATAAACCCTTAGCAGTAAAATACGGGACCCATCATATAACCATAACCTCTGTCTTATTAATAATTATAATTATATTTTTAACTTTTAAACTTTTAACGTTTAAAAATAGACTTAATATGAATGTAACAACTCCGGCTCGTAACGATGATGAAAATCTTTCAACTTCCCAACACGAATATTCACAAATCCCAGCATCTCGATTGAGGGAAATTGCATAAATTATATTTCTGAAGTTCGGTTATTTTTCCGATATTCAGTTTTCCGCGGGGGGCTGTTATACCCCATGAATGTTAGGACATCGTTTAACACATCTCTTTCACGCTGCTGCGTCAGCAACATAAAGCCTATATAACGGATTTCCCGACGAACGCCAGTTAGTCTTCAGAGAGTCTTCAGTCGATCTACAAGAAGTCTACATTCCGTCTCAATCAATCTTCAAAACTCATTCCAATATCAGTCATCGTTACTAAGTCGTTACTATTTCCTTCCAAAATCTTTCTAAGTCCTAGTTAATATAAGTGTATTAATTTCTTATTGCGAATTTAATTGAATTATATTGTGTCGTGTATTAAATAGTTTTTTTTAAAAAGCTCTATTCACGGTCCCGTATAATAGCTCGAGAATGGTTTGGAACGTATTAAAACGTCCCTATTCCACTTGTATCAGGTTTACATTATTAATTATCTCTTCCCGCTTGGAAAAGGCTCACGATATATTTATACAAAATACCCGATACAAGAGCTTCGCCCTCCCACGTTTATTTAAAAAAAAATGTAGGGGGAGGCACACCTACACACCCGCCGTGCACGGTGAGCGCCAACCATTTTAATGCACTCCCCCCGTAGGTAACGCTGATTCGGGAACTGGACCGTAGTCCACAGCAAAAACTAGCGAACTAGTAAAAGAGGCTTGGCCCCTTGCTAGTGCGTAAGCACAAACATCGACCGAAGTCGCGCATGTCAATGCGTGTAAATGCCATACAGAATACGAACGAATCCAGCCACAGTGAATGAACGTCACACGGTTTAGGCAAATAGGCACACTGACCGTAAACCCTCCGTGAGCGCCACCACCTGCCAGACTGCCGCTCCTGCAGATGTGATGTAAGTGTATGGCATCACCACCAATTGCATGATCAGCACGACTACTAGTTGCAGAGCGTGTTATGACTCTAGAGCTCACCTCAAGGGAATGGGGTCCCACGTTGTGCAGCTTTCGGCCGCAGCCTTGAGAGTCTCCTCAGATCCATGTGCTCCAAACACCGGTGGCACTGGAGCACATGTGTCGACCACACAACGGCATACAAGGGCAGATATAGCCAAAAGGCTATATCTATAAGATGTTAGTAATAATTTGCCATCAGAAAGGTTTTGTGTCACTGACGTTGAGTAAAGGCGCAAGCGGCGAAAAGCCTCTTAGCCGCGCGCGCGCCGGTTTGCACCACTTTTATAGCCCAGTCCAGCAACGCAGCTACGAGAAGCTATACACGAGTCTCACGCCGGAAAATGGAGCGCACATAGTAGTTATATTTTTGATTAATATTTATTTGTCATAATGTATGAATTGTAATTGGATAGGCAAATAAAAATTGTTACTATTGGTAAACTAACGACGTAGCCGGACATATAAATATAGGCAGGTTTGACCAAAAAATATATTCCATACTCCATAGTCCATTCGTCCACCGTGTATGCTTAAGGTTTTCATTCAGTCAGTCACTCACAGCTCTTTAAAATAAGTTCACTGCCAAACATAGGCCTCCTCCATAGATTACCACTGAGTACACTTACTTTCCTGGATGTAGCAACTAATGGTATGATTAATGGGTTATTTCTACATCTAGTGAGGAATTACTCAACAAACGAATATTAGTACGAGGAAGCTCGAAGTACCGCAGCTTGATAGAAAGGCTATGCTCAAAATTTCTCTTCTAGATAAAATCCGTAACAAAAATATCCGCAGAAGAACAAGATTAACTGACGTAGCCTAGCAGATCGGTAAACTAAAGTTAATAATAAAATAATTTGAAAAATCTTAAACAACACAAATTGATCGTATGTCGTAGTGATCGTGATGATTATTTTATTTAATCCTGGTGATACTGATTAGGTTGATATTCGTATTAAGTTATTATTACATTATTGTATTCTCAATGAAGTTAGAGGCAAACAATTCTGATAACACCTTGAGCCATACTATGTATAGAAAAAGACCCATACAGATAGATATTTAAACGGTATTTCTCACCACCATCCTTCACAGTTAGCTACCGTGGGTAAATCTTTGTTTCAGAGAGCATGAGGGATCTGTGATAGTAAGCACCTGGCGGCCGAGATCCACCACGTCAAGCAAGTTTTGCATGATAAAAAGCTTCGGGTCCCACGCCTACGTCACAGTGAAGGAGTGAAGCCAGCCACGGTCGAGCTTGTACCTGCTGTACTGCCATATGTTAGAGGAGTCACTGACAAGAATGGCTACATATTGAAGCGCGCTTCCATCGAAACACACTTTAAGCCGCCGAAGAAGATTGGTCAGTTTTTACCATGAGTCAAGTGTAACGTCCCTCTGCAAGATGCAGGAGTGTACAAGCTTGTTTGTGAATGTGGTATCTCATACATAGGAAAAACTAAAAGTTCAATTAAACCCGCGTTAAAGAACATATAGTTGATGCGAAGAGTAGACGCTCTGGGAAGTCTGCAGTCTGTGAACACGTACAGGATCGCCCCTGTCACTACATCAGATTTGATAGACCACAAATCATCGCTAAAGAACACCGATTCCTTCCAAGGATGATTCGCTGGCTATTGAAATCAAAAAACATCCTAATTTCAATAGAGAAGATGGCTCGGTGCTACTATCTGCTTGGGACCCTATAATAAATAAAATTAAAACCCAACCCAAGCATACAACTGCAAGACTTCAAGATACCATAAGTTCATACTGTGTAGATCGGAACAAAAGTTATATTTTAATCTATGGTAACCGCTATTAACTATGATATCTGGACGTTGAACATCTCAGTCCCCCCCGTGACTGCCCTCGATAATAAGAAAGACGTATCTAACAAAAAGTAAATACGGAGAAAAAAATATTTTAAGTTGAAAAACGGGAAAACCCATCCTGTGATTTATTTATTGCATTTATCAAAATTCTGTGAATGTACCATTTTTCGGCCCATATCTCTTCGTATCTTAGTATTATAACATTTTAGTATTGATAATATACATATTTTTTTTTCGAAAAGAAGCGTTTCTTTTTAGCAAAAAAATCCGAAAAATTACCTAGAACTAAGTAGGAAAGCCGTAAAACACCATATGCGCCCTTTCAATATAGCACCAAAAACATCACTACAAATTCACCAATTACAACAGCTATTTTCATAATATTAAGTTAAGTATTAAGAATTAATATTAAGTATTAAGAATAAAAGGCGCATTTTATTATTTACGACTTTCATCCGTAGTACCTTAGCTGTTGCGGCTATTTAAATAATAGGATAAAGAGTTAGATACTATTACCTATCTTTCACAGCAGGTGGCACTACAAAGCCCAAGAAAACAATGTTTTTGAAGGTATAAACGTCATTCAAATTAGGGGTTAATTTAAGTATTAAATCAGAGTCGTTTAATCGGGTACATAATCAACATTTATTTATGAACGGAAGTTGTACAAATGTATCAAAAATGAAAATATTGGTTATGGCACAATCACAAAACTAAAAACTAATCCTCTTTGGAACCAAATATCTTAACTAGTAACAATTAGAACCCTGACATTAGGAGCTTGTTACCTTGTGACCCGTAATATGTCTTATGACTATACTACAATAAACAGTCTTAATCAGTCAAAATATTTCACAACAATATAAAGATGTAATCTTTCGGTGGCTTAAGCGGCTCTTCTAGCGCCTAAAATGACATAAATATTTACAAAGAGATCTGTATCTACATACACGTAAAGGCACTCTGTTACTCTTAGGAACCACATATCTTAATTAGTAAAGATTAGAACCCTGTACGTTAGGAACTTAGTCACTATGTGACCCATAAGTCTTAAAACAGTCTTAAAAGCAGTCAAAATATTCCACAACAATATAAAAGTAACAAAAAGGCTCTTCTAGCGCCTAAAATAACATATGTAAATGTTTTATGTTTACAAAGAGATCTATACGTAATTAATAGGTACTCTGTTACAGCAACCATCAATAAACAAAACAAAAAAAGGCCCGTCTTTCCGGCACACAAAAATAAGTCCAACTTAATTTGGAAATAGCAAAACGTAAAAAAGAGTTAAAAACATAAAAATTGTTATAAATTTTTTTTTTGCACAAATCACTTAAAGCTTCTCTAACTATCGTCATATTCAGTGATCAAGTTGACTGCATCATCATTAACAGGCAAATTATTCCAGAATGCCCTCCTATTCTCGGGCATTAGAGGACTTAACTTTTGAAGTATTTCATCTTTACGTTCTTGCTTTATTCCTCGGAAGTAGTTTTTGATTACCGGCGAAGATATCCCAATCTTATTGTTTTTGACTCTCAGAAAATCGAGATCCATCGGTTCTGCATCAAAATCCGTTTTGTAGACAACTGAAGTTCGGTGTCTTTGGAATACAACCTCACACATGTCACTATAGGTAGGCTCGAGCTACTCCAGGTTGCGATCTTCTTGAAGATGATCCATGTCCATGTTGCAACTTTATAAAGATGAGCAATCCTCAAATGTAATCCTCAAATGTATAAAAGTCACTAACACCCATATCTTTTACTGTGATCTTACGATGGGTATCTGCCACCGCACGATGGAAATCTTCGAAGTCATAGATTCTTTTCTTTTGCTTCATAGAAAATTCGACCTGGTGGTGTAACTCATCCGCGGACATGAAGGTATGCCCAACTTCAAAGTATCTGAGGGTGATTGTTTCTAGATTGACGTGTGTGGAATTTATTAAAAACAGAAGGTATGAAAATAAGCTCCAATTTGTTCTGCGCTGCGCAGTTATCAAGCCACAGAGTGATATGTTTCACATCTCGGTTTTGCAAGAAGAAAGCCCGAAAAACAGCTAGTAATATCATCTTTCTTTCTGCCTTGAATAGCTTCGTGCCATATGCATGCAAATGTCTCCTTTGAGCTGCTACTTTTTTATCACCGAGAGGAACGAAACTTTCATTGAAAGCTATCAGCCTCAGGCAGAATATCACTGTTTTGAAGGTGTCAATTCGTGGAAGCATGATCACCTTTTCCAGGTCAACGGAGTAGTACAAAACGTCACTGTCTGTGCCAAGGGTCATTTGAAGATTCTTATCCTCATTGTACTTTTCTCTTGCCAGTGTGAACGTTTGTAGTGATTTTCGTAATTCAAGCACTCAGTGCAGGAACGATGTCTTATTTCAGGATTAGGGTTGTGAAATTTATATTTTTCACATGTCTCGCACTCTTCATTGCCCAATTTTGCAAAAGATATATTCAGTGATTTAACAACTCTTCGATAGTGATCATAGGATACAGTACATTTTTGAGTAGGATCATTTGTTATATTATATTTTGCACAAAAGTCATTGTACATGTCCCGCATATTAATATCGGAAGGTAAATATTTGTTGTTGTATTGTTCATGTTCTCGTCTGTAATGTGATAGGGAAGGATGAAATGAATTAATGTGCTCAATTATATTCGTGTTATCTATCTTTTTAGGATTAGGATTTGTGCCTTTCTTGTCCTTCGGTTCTTCATGGTCTACAGACTTAATTGCATTTCGAACGGCTTTATCGTTAGACTTGTTAAATCCTAGTGTAGTTAAAAAAAAACTTTGCAAACACTGAGTTTTTCTCCGTTTCCGTTCGAGAAGTAATAAAAAACAGACTTTAAATGTCTCGGGTCTGAACTATTAGTTGCACATCTATCTGGATTCTTCTGAGATGTGTTACCTTTAATGAAGTATGTTTGTTCCTTCCAAGTCATATTACGAAACAATTTATTCAATGAGATTCTTTGACTTTCCGAAAATTTTGTTGAGCATTTCTTTTTACAATTTTCATCACAGCCTGGTTTAACGTAGTATTTGGATTCAATTTTTAACTTCTTCATAATTTCCTGCCGCACAGCTAGTTTTGTTGCATAATATTTCCGTTTTCTTATCGTCCCTTTCTTAGTAAGTTGAACTTCGACGTTTTGATTTTCCTGAATCTTTGACTCCGGCTCGCTAACATCTTCAGATGATGTCTCGGATATATGGACGTTATTCAGCGGCTGTGAAGACTGTATAACATCGTTTTCAGAGTCTGAATCAAATAATTGCGGATATCCTGCTTTCTTTTTTTGAGGTGGAACATAATCTTTATCTTTAACTGAATTATCCGAATCAAATTCAGTTCCCGAAGGTGAACTGCTGCTGCTACTATTGTTGCAGATTTCTTTAAGATTTTTGTCATGACCAATGTTGTCGTTGATGGTAGTAGTGCTACAACAAGCTTGATCGATGGGACTGATGCTAATACTACCGTTGGCGTTGGCGTTCATTGTCCGGATTGGCACGGATGCTGTCAATGGCGGAGTTAGAGCTGCAACAAGTTTGCTCACCGGTACCAAAATTGTCGACCGAAGTAGCCGGGCTTTTGGGTACTAAATTGTTTGATAATGCTCTTGAAATAAGGTGATAACCACGACCCGCCTTCTTCATCTTTAGTTTTATCTAAAAAAATGTAAATACATTATCAGAAGCGTGAAAGCAAACCAAACCAAAAAGCGTACGACGTAGATATACGTTATATTATAACAAGTTCACCGTCCCGATAAAATATTTATAACTACCCGCTTCTTAGGAAGGTATGTTATAGCTACGTTTGTTATAGCGAACGTAGGTGTAAACTAACCTATAGTCTATTTTTAGGTGCTTGTCTAAAGGTAAACAAAGAACTGTCACAAAAACAAATTTAATTCGACGTTTTAAGTCATAATTTGGCAACTAAACGAAATATTTGCTATAAACAAACAAATTAGATAAATTCATGTACTTATTATCTATTTAGAAGGAATAAATACATGCACCACTGAAATAAGTATTTAACGGTTGTTAACATTTAGTTAAATACCTAAAGAAATGCAGTATAAATTCGTTTGAAATTATCATTACCTGTGAAAATCCTCCGCACTTGAAAATGTTGCTCACAGGAGAGTGGTGGTGTCGGTACCGATGCTACACGCCAGACCTTAACAGCCGCTCAGGCGCAACTGAAGCGTTCCCGAACATTTCCCTTCCCCTCGCGTCCCTTTGCATACAGCGACACGAAATAGTAAGGGCACTTCTACTCACTTGCGTCTTTTTTATTAAGTATTGATTGATATATAATTTCGTTCCACGGAAAAATAAAACGCATCTACCACATACCTCTATTAAAAGAAGTGGTGTACTAAATTGAAAAGACGCAAGTGGTAAATAAGTCTTTTTCTTCTAGTATTAGCTCAGATTATCAAACGATTGAAAGGTGCAATAGCCAGTTACGTCTTTTCATAGTCACACGCAGAACTTAATGAATAAATGCGTCTTTTTACTTCTCCATCAAAGTAGTTATTCATTGAAAGATTAGACTCATCTACGCAAATACGTCTTTTCACTTTACTTCGATCAAAGTGTGTCCTTTCATCTTAGTTAAAGTATAAATGATAATGGAGAAGAGCCTTTCTTCACTGTGGTAAATCCTAAACTAAATGAGATAAAAAATTAAAAAAAATATCAGCAGGTACGCCTTTTTTTCCTCATTCGGATAATATATATAACTCAATTTTAGACAAAATGTTAGATACGTCCTTTTTACTATCGGGGGCAGGTGGGTGCTGTAAAGCACTCGAAACGTCGGGTATTTAAAAAATATATTATACGCGATAAAATCCGTAAAAACTAGTATTATTTAAATGTGTAGTGTTCGCGTAAATATAAGAAATCAAGATGCTACTAACCGAAAAAATACTGCTGTAGAGAAGTTATCTCTGTAGAGCGTGGCGACTATAGCAAATACAGAGGATATTAATGGTAATTAATGATAAATTAATATTCAAAAACTGAAAGTAGCTAGAGATAACACTGCACCGTAACCATGGATTCTTTAAAGCAGCCCAAACGTCAGAAATTATTTAAATAAGTTAAAAAAGATGCATTAAAGTTCGTAAAATGTGTTTTATTAAATGTAATAAACATCCCAATCAATGTATGTAATGTAGGCAATGTACGTGGGAAGCTTTGGTATGGTAATGCATTATGAAAATGTAGTTTATTAGTCTATACAAACTCATTGCGCTTAAAATGTCTATTGTTGAAATCGATAAAGTCTAAATCGCGAGGCACGTTCTTGCACTGAATGTGCTGCCTGTAGACACTTAACGGTTCAATGCAGGCTGAATAGAAATAACTTTGGCTTTCTAAGTCTTACACTGGCATTTAAGCTTTTATTTAATAACGTTACCCTGAAAATATAGTAATTTAGCAAGATTTTTTTAAATATTTTAAGCCAGTGACTTGCGTACGGATTTAGAAAAGAGATGACTGTGGACTTGCCACTATCTCCCATGACGGTAAGTAGTGATGTAGTCTAAGACGTTAAAGCACAGACTTAACTTGACAAAAGTTTATTTACGCTGCTGCTCTGTTCTTATAAACATATATAAGTTTGTATAAATTTATACATAGGGAACGGTGGACTTTATAAAAGTTGGATGATAAAATAACTTTATAACATGTTAACAATAGCCAATAAAAAATGTCGTTATATGTACAGGCAGCAAGAGTTCGTTGCAACATTTAGCTCGATGCGCTGCCGGTTATAGAGGTATGCCGATAGCTTAAGACATTATATCCAAGATAGATGAAATAACTTCAAAAGGCGTTCAGCTGAGATTGCAATGGGTTCCATCGCATATCGGGTTACGGGGCAACGAAAAAGCTGACATGTTAGCGAAATATGCGGTTAAGAATGGAAAAGAATCTAATATTATTTTGGATTACTCAGAAGTTATGCCTAAATACAAAAGTATATGTTATGAAATGTGGAAGGAATACTTTAACAAACGGTCACTAGAAAAAAGAATATGGTACAAAACCATACAGTATCAGACTCTTCGTGTGCCCTGGTTCGTTAATACTAGCTTGAGTAGGAAATTAGTTGTTACTGCTCATATACTCACATCTGGACACATTCCATGTAAGAAATTTACCGTCTTGATGAGAAAAACAATTATTTTATTCTTTAAGTTCTTTGAATTTGGAATATTCTAGATGCCTTCTGGCAATGCTCTTTGTATGTTCGTGAAGTTCCATTACAATCGGTTTAGACATTCTAAAAATTAGCCCGGACGGATAGAAGACAATTCCTTTAAAAAATGGCTATTCCTCTTTGCATGCGAATAACCCTCTCAAGTTAATCAAAGGCAGTTATTTCGATATTAGAGACAGACAATTCAATTTTATTTATATGCATAAATTTAATTTTTACTTGAATTTGAGACTTAAGACTTAGAGAAATAAAGCCAGGATTCGAACTAAATCAAACAAAATTTGTTTTGCTACCGTCGAAATAAAGCGGTTTATATATATCGCGTCTCAGAAATGGCAGAATATGAATGAGAGTGGATTTCAGTGTGCGTTAGTATATTAAAAGAAATAATATTGTGATATTTGGAACATTACCTTGGCCTAATAAGTTAATATAAATAAAGCAAAATATGAAATCGAAATAATTAAAGATATTCTAGTACTCGTACAGATTTGAAGTAATGCATTTAAATAATGCGACTATGTACCATCAAAAGAATGAGGAAAAAGAGTACTACTAAAAATTGTTACCGTCCACGCGTTTTGATTTTTATAGTTTGTATAGTACACTTTAAATAATCAGGATTTTTCTGTAAATAAGTGTTATAAAAAGCAGACCATTCATTATGATAAGTGAATGTTTTGGTCTATAAACCTACCATCTATTAAGAATCGAGAGAGATGGTAAGTATGCCTTATTACAAGTTAAAAAGGTCTCCTGTTTTAAAAGCTGCAATATTTTGTATTGGCATATGGTGAGAGCGAGATCCTTCCTCAGTTGAGATGAATACTGTCGTGCTGCATCCGCAATACACGATACACGATACACGATACACGATACACGATACACGATACACGATACACGTGGCACTTTTCTACAGTCAATCGTTTGTTTATTCAGGATTCTATCAGTCTGATGTTTGAAGGTATGCAGGTAGAAAACCTTTTTTTAATAAAAGAAGGAATAAGTCAGCTCAGAAAAGTTAAAAATACTGGATATTTATTTTATACGTATTTTATATGTGGTAGAGCCATGTTGCAGCTATATTATGATTGAAGCACGAATAGGTCGACCCGACCGGGGAAGGAACACGCTCTCGCCGAATATCAAAATAAAATGGCTACTTGATGCTGCTGTGTTATTCAAATGGTAAATAAGCGTTTGCATTTTGATTCTTAATCAAGGATAAAAATAATGAAGATAGGGCCACGGCATTCACTTACCATCTAGCTGACTGTTCGCCTAGTTATTACCTTTACTCTATGAAATAATTTTAAAAGGTCACAAAAGTTAAAAATACATGATTTTAATATAGCAATGATCAATAAAATTAAATGTCGTAGTTCATTTTATCGAGTAAACATTTTCATGGATGCGTCTCTATTCCCGTGTTTGAGCAAAGCAAACTTGAGCACTGCCTTTGAACTAAACGATCTTCCTGACTGTTTATTGCATATACATATTTGAACGCCAACTACAAAACAAAGCGAACGTTTTATAATTGGTCTTTGGGGTAGAAACCAGATTTACTATTTATTATTTTTGTAAAATTTTACTCCAACACACAGTTCACCTGATTGCTACTTGCAATGATTCTGTAGCTCCAGTAAGAAACAGAAACAAGTTTTTTTTTTCAATATAGACCCTAAATAATACTAACTGAAAATCACTTTTTTTATTTACCACTGGTTCAGAAGAAAACTTTTGTTCTGGGAAGAACCAGCAAGAAACCCAGCGGTACATTTAAAAAAATTGCAGTTTACGTTCATGTTTATTACAATTAATGTTTACAAATGGACGTAACAAAATAAAATAAAATAAAATACGGTCGCTTGTAAAAATGATATAATGACTTGCTAATATCTTTTCTGGTACAATGGTAAGACCTTTCTAAAAGAAGATTGCCGCCGGGCGCCCTCTGGCGCCTTGTTTTATACTGCTGATTATTAGTCGGTGTAGCCGCAACAATTAACAATACGTAACAAATTAAAAATAACTTGGTAGCGATCATCCTACCCAGGGGTTATTATCATCTATAAATTCCTTAACATTATAATAATAGTTTACATACAAACTTAGTTTAATAAAGATTTTGAACTATGTGCAAGTCAAATTTTGTATATTTTCTGGGGTTTTGTTGTAAAAGCGTATACATTTCCCCAAGAGTGAATTACTGACTCGGTGGAGTCGAGAAACTAGTACTAAGATGATAAG